AAACTAGCTGAAGATTAGATACACTCACCAAAGCAGACTCGCAACTGCTCTTCTACAAATAGAATAGGAGTCTATTGGTCTCTTTACTATATTTATCAAAAAACGGATATATCTGCAAGTGATGCTGATCAATAATATATATGTATATATATACCTTATGGGGTATATAATTATAATTTGCACGCTTTCAAAAACGGATGTATTCTTTCCAGGTATGGCCAAATAACTGAGATCCTCCTATGGGCTGCTTTCTACCAGATTTCTTACTTGAGTCAACCACTAAAAATGCGATTTTTTAATTTAAAATCAGTATTAATTAATTATTGGTTACATATTCAATGACAAAGCAGTAATACTCTCTGCCAAAATTAGTCGTAATGAGAGACATCAAGTGCGTAGCAGCGACTGCTAGGACACGCGTTGGCCATGCTTGCACCTTGTTGCAACAACAGCAGCAGCAGCAGCGGGGCAGCTGATAGTGTTGGTGGTGGGGGGAAGGCATTAGGCTATGCCGTGTGCAGTCGCTCGGAAAACATTGAAAAAACTACAGAGGAACATATCAAATAAAATTTGATTGTTAGTCAGTGGCACTGATATCCGATTACTAGAAAAACATGCAAGTACACACAGAGAGAGTGAGAGAGGGGGAGGGAGAGGGAGAGTCTGGTTGGCAGGCTGTGTTCTCATTTTCAGCATTAGGGGCACGCCCATTTGGACTCCTACCCATCGCACGACTAGTTGCCAACAATGCGTGCGCTAAGTGGAATAAAGACTCGTTATTGTTGTTGGTCTTGTTGTTTTCCATTTCCATTTTGGCAATCTTTTAGCGACGAGCTGCCAAACAAAGACGTGGAGTGGCTTCAGGCTGCGCCACGTTTGCTTTTGTGCCCGCTGCGTGTCATTCCATTTCCGCCTGCCACGAATCCAAATCGCAAATCAAACAAAAACGACGACGACGACGACGAGAACGACAGCTGCTCCTTGGCTTTGCATATGTGGCACATATCCTTGCAGGGCGCCCATTGTGAGTGTGCGTGTGTGCAAGAGCGGGGCAATCTTGAATCTATATAGCCAAACGAATATAGCTTTTGATTTGCACAAAGCCAGCCAGCCAGCTACCTTCTTGAAGCTAGCCTCCTCCCCATCTCTACTCTCCTCTCCACTCCACGACAATCGAGGCGGCGTCAAAGGCCAAAACGTCAAAGCGGCAGCAATCTCAAATCAAGTCTTGACACACATATACATCTATATATATGTTGTTGTTCTGCAGACAGGAAACAACTGCAGCAAAAGGTGCAAACGAACTTCCGCTCCAAATCAGTTTTCGATTTGGCTTCAGCTGCTGCTGTTTCAGTTGTTTGTTTGCTGCTTTTTGTTTTTTTTTTTTTTGATACGCGGCACGCGCTGTGTTTAATCAGATGCAAAATGAAACTTGACTTTCGACTTGGTCTAGAGGAAGAATCTGGCAGCTCGTCGGACTCATCTGCGTTATATAGGCTAATCAATTATCATCATCATCAGCATCATCATCAGCTGACAGCAGTAGCAAAACGATTGAAAGGCTGATTACCTTTCAGGACGACCTCTAATTACACCAAAGAGTAGTAGCAAAACAGAAACAGAAGCAGGAGCAGAAGCAGCAGCAACAGCAGCAGCAGCAACAGCAGCAGCAGCAGCAGCAGCAGCATCAGGAGTTGGAGTATCATCGGGGGCGCCAGGTTCTGCAAAGGCAAATGTGACTTTAATGAGTAAAAATGTGATAATTAGTAGACGCCAGAGAGGCCGACAAAGACATGCACACCAACAAAAAAAAATGACAGTAATTATGCGTTGAGTAAAAACCATTTGAGCCAGGCCCAAATTACTCACAGGACGGCCGAGCCATCAACAAAAACAGTAGGAACAACAAGTGCCTCAAGTTGCTTGTGGAAAGATGCTGCTAAGCCACATTTTCCATTTCCACCTGCGGCCAAGCAATGCAAAGTTGACTTGCTGCATTGTTCAAATATTATTATTCAATTAAATGAAAAACAATAAACAAAAATATCTAAAGCTAACAAAATATTTGAGTGACAATTTGGGGTGCATGGATTCAATATAAAATCAGTTATTTTTAAGTTAAGTCAAATAGTTGGTCAAATAATCTATTCACGACTCATACTAATTTTGAATTAAAAATTTAACTTATAAACTTGAGTTGTTTTACAGTCTCAACAAATTCGAGTTAAGAATTTTGCATACAGTTAAAGAATTTATATATATTCAATGCTCATACTAATTTTCAATTAAAAAGTCAACTTATGGCATAAGTTTAGCCTATTTTTCTTGGAGTTTTAAACGATTTCGAGTTACAAACGTCAAAAAGTTCGAGCTAGGAACACGCAATAAGCTGCAGAAAATATGATTGTAAGAAGTGCCACAGCAAGACAAATTCAACGCAAATGTAAATTCAAATCGTTATATATGTTGAGATTATTGGCCGGATTTATAGCCCGGCTCATTGCTGGCCTGGTTTCATGGGCACAGTTTATAAATATTGCTTAACTGCATGGAATAAAAATGTCAACACGCTCAATGAGGGCACATAAAATGCATAATGGAGTGCACAGCGTTTTTTCCTTCCTCCTCCCTCTTTTCGTCGCCAGCGAAGATGTCCTTTTTTGCGCATAGCCCATGGCTAACAAAAACACTCACACACACAGGCACAGGCACAGGCGCTGGCAAACAAACGCAGCAACGTAATTCAAAGGAATTTTTTTCGTAGGTGTTCCTCTTAAATAGATGCCGCCGTCGCCGCCGACGTTCCTCTGTCCCAATGTTGACCATATCGTGAATGATGTTGACTGTTTCTGTTCGTTGTGTGTGTGGGGGGGAGTGTGTTAAATGTTTTGCGTCAATTTGTCGCTTTATGTTTTGCGACCCAAAAACACGCTGCCCACATTCACATCCACAATCGTCCACACATCGTTGTCGTCCCTCTCCTGTGAATGAGGCACAAAATAGAATTATGTACATACAGTTAAATGAAAGCGGATTGTATGTGGGAAATATATATATATTTATATGTATATATGTATTGCATATTTTACCTGGTTTGGTTGCCGTCGTCATGACGTCATGCGGTGCGACCGCTTCGTAATGTCATTATCAGGCTCAGCCGCAAGGACACCATGTGTGTGTGCGGGGAGAGAGAGAGAGAGAGAGGGAGAGTGCTCAATGTAATTCGCACACCCCGTGGTGAACGTCACAAAACAAATGATAAACAATTATTTTGTTACCAAATGTTCCGGCCCGATTTAGTTGCTGCCGCCTCATCGTTTGATCTCTTGTTTGTTGGCCAAACCAGATTTATCACAATTTCACAATGCATTTGGGTGTTCCCATTGTCCTCATTCAGCAGCCACTAACAATTTAATACGTAGAAAATTGCAAATCGGAAGTAAAATGTTTGGCCTATTTGAATTTTTGCAGCGAAGAATTGCAATTGATAAAGGATGAGCAGATAATGGCAAATGCAACTCTGGCTGATTGGCAGCAAGTGTTGTCAGCATTGCCAAATTGAAGAATTAAAGCAAAGTTCGCAAAACTTAAGCAACGCGCGACGCTGCATCTTGTGTAACAGAACTTGATTTAGTTTAAATGTTAAGTGTACATTTGTTTATTGTTTATTAATGCAATATTGAGCATTATGTTAACGAGCTGTTGGGCAAAGTGATAACATAATTATTGCCATTCGAATTTGCGTCAGTATCAAAAAGGCGAAAATCGTGTCAAATTAGTGTTTTTATTGTGTAAGTATGCACTAAATGTTCAAAATACGCAATTTATTGCTTTCATTAAATAATTTTCGTTCTTTTCAATGAGCTAGTAAAATTGATGCCGTAATAATTGCGTTTGACCGCATGCATAATGTGTTTATGAGTGTGAGTGTGGTTGATGGGAGAAGGAGGAGTGTAATGAAGAGAGTACGAATTGCAAGTTTAATGGCCTGGCTGGTTGGCTGGTCCCGCAGGCGATTCCTCAATTAAATCAAATTTGATAATTACTAATATTAGACTGTCGCGCGACTGGCTAACTAGAAGCGACACTTGTTTAACCTCCCACGGACAAACAGCGCCGCTTGCGGCTGCCAGCGGAAGTAACTATTTTATACGCCTTCCTCTTTTGTTTGCCATTCCGCTTGCGAGCTTAATTTGTGAATGGTTTTTGCTTTGTTTGTATACCCTGTGCAATGGCAAATGACTGAGTGGGGGGCTTGCAAACTTTTACGTGAGTAAAAGGAGAATAATAGATGTGTGCATATTAGTATACATTTGTTTACTTCATATATTGATGGGTATTTTTTAGTCAGGCACTTCCATTTAATTATTTTTTTCGTTTTCATAATCGTGTGTTTTAATTGCGCGTAGGCTTCATTTGGATTTTCTTGTTGGTGGTTGTCACAGTCTCAGTTTTAATTAAACACAATACACATTTTCCGCCTTTTGCAGATTTTTCGTATTGTTTTTGTTGTGTTTTTTTGTTAGTTTTTATGAGCCCCGTAATTGCTCTCGCCCAGTTCTCGTCGCATCGCGTTTGGAACATCTTAATTACATAATAAAAATGATTTCGTTTTGCAATCGCGCTGAGTGCGACCAACTCTAGCTTAGTCTTAATTCGGTAGCAATCTGACTTTTTGTCTTACACTCGTTTTCATAATTTTATGGCTCGTTTAGTTTTGTGGCTTAAATGTTATGTAGTAGCGTCTTTTTGCAGATTTCGTCGACAGATATGCGAGCCAGAAATAAATAGTTTCCAAGGTTTTTATCTCATCTTTGCGCTCTCTTAGGCTTTTAATTTGGCATAGGCAAAAAATGGAAATTGGACAGCTGATTTCAGCATTGACGCACGTTAGAAGATTGAAGATTGCTAATGGGAATTTCCATTTCAATTTCCAGATCTTTTGACCTGAATCAAATAAACTTAATTATTTATAATATTTATATTTGCAACATCCACAGATGAGCGGCAAGCGAACGCGCAGCTTCAAATGCGCTGTGCATCAGCGGGATCGGGAAGTGTGCTCTGAGAACGATTTTCAGCTGGTGCTCAGTGAGCCGCCGCTCTTCAGGAAGATGGTGCATGCCGTGGCCGTCGAGGTGCTGCCGGAGGAGCGTGATCGTAAATACTATGCGGATCGCTATACATGCTGCCCGCCCCCATTCTTCATCATACTGGTCACAATCATTGAGGTATCTAGTCTAGATATATACATATATTACATTACTTGCATACATATTGAGTTTTGTTGGCAATTTGTTAGCTGGCCTTCTTTGTGTATCACTCGCTGGCGATGGGAGAGACGGCGCCATCGGGTCCCATACCCACCGATTCCATGTTCATTTACCGGCCCGATAAGCGTCACGAGATCTGGCGATTTGTGCTATATATGGTGCTGCATGCCGGCTGGTTTCATCTCGGCTTCAATGTGGCCGTTCAGCTGCTCTTTGGACTGCCGCTGGAGATGGTGCATGGATCGTCGCGCATCGCCTGCATTTATTTCTCGGGCGTGCTCGCCGGCTCCCTGGGCACCAGCATCTTTGATCCGGAGGTGTTTCTGGTTGGCGCCAGTGGCGGTGTTTATGCCCTGCTGGCGGCACATCTGGCCAATGTGCTGCTCAACTACCATCAGATGCGCTACGGTGTCCTGCGCATCGCATTCATACTCATCTTTGGTAAGGATTTCACTTCCTTTTTGTTATTTATACAGTTTTTGGGTTTAATCTGTCGCTTGCAGCCTCTTTTGACTTTGGGTTCGCCATCTATGCGCGTTACGCTGGCGAGGATTCGCTGCCTGGTCAGATGGGCGGCAGTTCGGCAGCAGTCTCGTATGTGGCACATTTGGCTGGCGCTGTGGCAGGTCTAACCATCGGTCTGCTGGTGCTCAAGAACTTTGAGCAGAAGTTGCATGAACAATTGCTCTGGTGGATCGCGCTGGGCACGTATACGGCCCTCGTCGTCTTTGCCGTGGCCTTCAATGTGCTCAATGGCGTCACCTTGTTCAACATGCGTGTGGAGAAGATTCGCTTCACCGAGACGTACTTCAATGACTTTCAAGTATAACACACAGGACACCCAGGAGGCTGCCCCCCAAAGAAAAAGTTGATTATCGATTATTTTGTTATTCTTTATTTTGGATTCGTTAATGTTTTTTTTTGTTATTTAGTTTATTGTTTGCCCCAATTGGACAGTGAATAAGTTTATAGTTTCATCGTTTTGTTGTACAGACACGCTATATATATATATATGTATGATATATATATATATACATATATACTTACATATTTGTACAGTGTAGACAATCGTCACTTTCTCTACGTAATTAACGCATTTTGTTCAACGCTTCGTTTTACAAGTACAAAAGCTGGAAAATGAACTTGAAATCGATAAGAAACCATATACATCTAGGGTATATGTATTTATTTACAAGAAATCGGAACTGATTAGATTTACATATATACATACAACTTGATGCTCAAGGGATATTTGCAAATCACAAATTTAGAACTATTTTTCTATAGGCTTAAGCAAGAGATACAACAGCTGTAAAATAAAATATGCTTAAGTGCTAAAATGCGCATATATATTGAAACCGATATTGGAAAGTCCAAGCATTTATTCCAAACATTTTTCCGAACTGTCCCACTGCAGGCCTTACATATACAATGAATAACGTATATTCTCGAGACTACCTCAAATTGGTAAACGTAGTTAAGTTTAAATTGCCCTTATGAAAGAAATCATCACTGCCAGCATTAGTGAATTATAAAAAAACAAAACAAAACAAGCAAACAGCACCAATTGAAATGTATTTTGTAAATATTTTGAAAAGCTAATAAAGTAATCTAAATGAAAACGGAAATGAGCTACGAGTATTTTTCTTTAATGATTTTTATGTAGACGGTAAGTACGCCTGATGGATATATATTCTTGATTAGCATGAAATACAAAGTAAAGTGTAAAGCAGATGAAAAAAAAAGAAAAAGAAAAGAAAAACTGGAACTAACTGCAAATTGTTTTGCTTTGTGCTGCTTGCTGACTGAAAACTGATTGCCTTTTTATTATTAGTTGCTGCTGCTGCTGCAGATTTCCCGTCTACTTGCGACTTTTACTCGATGTTCAGACAAATGTACACACAAACTGGGAAAATGCTAATCTGACGCTGAACTGTTCAATTAAAATTGAAACGCGTAATTATAATACTTAAATTGTGTTTAATCAATGTACGCGCAGCATTAACAATATCAAAGAAGCGCCGTGTATTTGTTTCTTTTTTTTTTATAGTTTCTATGCAAGCTGCAAATTGTTATTGCTTTTTTTTTCTGAACACACAAAAAATCGGAAGAGAAGATGAGCTGCTTTTTATGTCGTTGTTGCTGTTGCCATTGGCGCATTGCGAAACTCGCCAAATGCGCGCTGCTTTTAAGTAAATATAAACTACTCAACTAAAATGCTTTTAAAGGGATTATTTCTTGTATTTTTTTTTGGTGCGTTCAAAAAAGTTTAATGAATGGAAATTAACAAAGGATGCAAAGAAATCAAATCTGAAGAGAGGGTCAGCTGCTGTTTATCTTCTGCTAAGAAAGTTCAAAGTGAAAGACATGGAAATTGTAGAGATTTTAATGATGTTTAGAATTTCCGGTGAAATTAATTTACAATCGATCTATATGCAAAATAAAAATGTATTAAAATTTATATAATACAACTGTGAAAATGCTCTTGCACAGCAAACACACATAAAGTGGAAGTGGTAGTATTTAACTGGTAGTCGTGTTTCCTTGACTTACGGACTTTTAGCATTGCTTACGGGTTTCTCATAACCCATTTATGTGTCGGGCATAGAGCAAGCACTCAATACTGAAACACATGTCATAAATGTTAAAGATAAGTCGTAAAATTTTAAAATGTTAGATTTTATCTATATAAATGTACATATTGGCGACATCTTGAGACACGCAAGCTTTTTTTTTTAAAACTTTTAAGGTGCTATAAAAGATTTGAACATGGCATCCATCTCTATCAAAAGCGTTGCGTGTTAAAGGGGCGAGCCGAGGGCGGTCCTACTTTGACAGTGAAATGCGAAAAACTGTAGAAATTTTCATGACAGTTTCGTGCACGCACCTGGGACACGGCCAACTGTCAGAGCTACCCCGGGAACTACTCTAACCATCACACCCCATCCTTCACACCCCATGCTTCACACGCCACCCTTCACACCCCACCCTTTACACCCCATCCTTCACATCCCACGACCAGTTGGGCTGTCAACAAAGCGTTGTACCTTGTCTTTTTGCTGTGGCACTGTTTTTGTTATGCTGGCGATGTCTCACTCACAGATGCCCCAAACCCCATACCCCATACCCCATGCTCCATGGTCCGTGCCAGGCAAACCCATGCTTTGCCTAAAAAATAACAGCTCCCAGTTCGCATTGACATGCTCCTTCACCATTCATTTCAGCAAATCCCGGCGGACTCGAGTTTACGTTTGTTTGAGCATATTTCAACGTTAGTCATTCGTCAGGCGTTGTCAGACAAACAACCAAAAAGGAGCGAGTCCAATGCAAAAATTGTCAAAATGATATAAGCAAATAATATGTTCACCCAACTAGTCGGGGAAATTGGAAATGGGCGTAGCAACAGAAGAAGCACAAATAAGAAAAATAAGCTGACACTTTTGCTTGGACAAAGGATTCAATTGACGTTGATTAATGCGGGTCTGACGATCTAATTAGCCATTGTCCGCGCCCAGATTACGCAGATAATAAATGATTAAAAATTAGTATGCACAAATTTAAAAGCGGTATTTTAATAAATGCCAAAACATTAACAAAAAGGTGCAGCTGTAGAAAAAATTGGTTTAGTTTTGACAAAATATATGGCTCTCATCAATTTTATTTCATATAAAAACTTTTAATACGCCACATTTTGAGGGTATAATTTTAACATGAATTTCGAGCCAGAATTACGTTAAAAACTTTGATTGCAATTTACATGTAGAGGTGAAATCATATTTAAAAAGCTCGGAGCATTTTTGTCAAAGTATTTTAGCATAAATTCCGGAATTGTAGACAGTTTCAAACGATTAGAAAAAAGTCGAAAATAACCTGTGTAATATTTTTAATTGACTTCTAAACTGTGCTGCTGTCCCAAGGCTTAAACACACACATTAAAATCACGATGAACTCATTGAGACCAAGTAAATAAATCATATCAATAAGAAAGAGACTAAAGTCAGAGCAGTATAGAGTTGGTTCTTATGCTGACTGTCTGCTAACTGCCTTCTTGCTGTGCTTGGCAAACATGTTTATAACAAGTACGAGTGTAAAGTTCGAAGATATCCTATACACAGCTGTTAAATATATGAAAGGTTTGCTGGTTTACTTTCTTCAACATGAGAATACGTTTTGGTTAAGAAAATATATGCGTTTCTTATCCAATCTTGATGAAAGTTTCACAGACGTTCGTCAGGAATAAAAATACTTTCAGGTATCTAAGATACATTCTTCTGCTTGTTACATACGTACGCATAACTTCAGTATACCCCTTTTACCCATTACACAATGGAACTGCTGCGAATAAAAAGTACAAGTTAATATTTATGTAATGCAGCAGATACAAAGTACAACAACGTTGAGACTCGGATCATTACATTGACATATTCATGCACACGCGTTCATGTATCAGGAATTTAGCTGAAGAGGCGAACAATGCCAGGCAAGGAGCAGCGAGCAGGTGGAGGGCAGGACAAGTGAGGGCATCATTGGTGACCATGTAAAGTGCGGACGATGCGTCCCACGCGACGCAGAAAAATCAACCTGCATTTTGTGGCTATGCCTTTGGCTTTTGTTACTGTGATGACAGAGAAGATGATGACGACGACGACGACGACGGCAACGATGTGGAAAAGTATCTCACAGTTGTGGTTCTGGTTGGGTATCCGTTCGCCTTTATCTGCGACAGTGAACAGTGCGGAACAGCGAGAGGACTGTTCATGTTCGCGATGCATGCTTATCAAAAGTTCTCCTTGTACCTGTCATAAGGCCCACTGAAATATTGTGGCCAGGAATGTGTGCAGACTAAACTGAAACTCGACTGAAGTGTGTGTGCCCCTCGGGCCATTTGCAGTTGAACTTTTTTAATAAACTCTGCCATCCACTCCTGGACAAAAGGTGAAGCAGCCGCCTGCTTCAGGATTTGTGCATTTATCTCACTTGGCGCCATGGCAAATATGGAAATTTGTTGCAAGCTCTATTATTTTTTTGTTGCCGCATGCGGCACTTGACTTCTTTTTTTTTTGTTTGTTATATTTTATGCCGCTAAGCGCTTCATTAAGTACTTGGGGCACTGCAGTGAGTCCTGCCTCGCAGCACGACTGCCTGAGTGTCCTTATGTCCTTATGCTATAACTAATTGTTGCGACCTGAATTTTTTTTATGTATATCTAGAAAAGGGATTTTTTGTTGTGTCTTTGGCTTGGCACGGTTTGAATACACTTTTCAGGCACTCTTAGAGAATATCGCTAGTTCTCAATTTCAGTGAAACTCTTTTAGAAATCTAAGATTTTGTGCTGTAAAGTTTTCAAACCCCTTTAATTGTTCTCCAAAACTTCTTACATCCATAACTTTGTCCAAACTGAGAACTATATTAAATCTTGAGGCATTTTTAATTATTTTATTCTACAATTTGTTTTCGTAAACTTTTCGAATTTATTAAAAACATTTCACATATAAAGTTTACCCAGAATTCTAATAATAATAACTTTTCCAAAGCTGAACTTATACTCAACTTTTGAGTTCATTTGTACTTTAGTTTAATTCTACATCTAAAATTGCTTAGAATGACTTTAAGCAACCCAAACTGTGTCAAAATGATTTTCAATTCATTTTACTATCTAATTCCTTCTTCAATATGTAACACAACTTATGATAAAATGGCGATACTCTTTCTGCAAGGGTATATTTAAAAAAATGCTTAGAAAACGAGTTCAGGACTGAAAGCGCCTTCTCTGTGGCAGTGCCAAAAGCCGCTTGACCCCGCCAGCTAGGACAAAGGATTCGCCGATGTTAAACGTTTTTGCGGTCGTAGCCAAAAGTAATTATACAAAAATGCGACACAAATGTTGAAATAATAAGGCTGCTATTCCAACCACAAATAAGGCAGAAACTGCAAGGATTTCATTTGCAGAGCTCCAACAAAATTAGCTGAGCGTTGTGGAGTGGAGCTGCGACAAAGTTGGATTTGGGGGACGGTCAAAAAATCAAGCTACGGGTTTAATCTATGCAATGGGCCGTAAATGTGTGTGCCACCATCAACATCATATTGAATTTCATGGATCGGGATATGAGACTTGGCATTTATGGGCGGAGCTTTTAGGTTAATTGCCTTGCTGGTGTCGCCAGCACATTGTTGCAATACAGCTTGGATGGAGTGGACTGAGCTGGACTGTCCAAAAACTGCTTGCCCCATATGAGGTCATATTGTGGCTTCATCAAAACTTGCCATTGCGGCGTGCCCCAAACCAGCCGAAAGCCAGGCAAAAATCCGACAAAAACCACCCATTTAGCCAGCAGAAACAGGAGCAGACACAGGCGAAATTAGTTTTCATTTATGCAGAAGGCGCCTTCCGCGACATCACCTCCCTGTGCGTGCTGGCTGGCAATTTAAGTCTGGCCCCCCATTCGAGGTGTACAAGTGCTCCAACATTCATTTATATCCTGGCAACAGTGTTGGCCAACTTTCGACAAACAAACAAAAAAACGAAGGATTCCAATGGCAAAAAAAAATGCCAAATGATACTTATCTGAAGTTGAGTTAAGAGTTGGGTTTTCAACAACATAGAACTTAAGCTTAAATACTTTAAATATTTGAATTGTAATAGCTGTAAAAGGGAATCGAAAAAAGTGATAATCAGCTTTACATACATATATAATGTGTTTATAGCTATATATAGCTTTCAAATATATTTTGTGTACTGTAAAAAGTGTGCAAATCCCTACCAAAATGATTTTACCAATATTTAAATATTTTTGTTAGTATTTTTAAAAGCATTTGCTTGCTCTGCAAAGAAAAAAAGCCAAAAAAATAAACAAAAACCCGCTAACTTGTTGTTTTAAAAATATTTGCCACACTGTTTCTGTTTGCCACAGACAACAAAGGATTTGCGTTATGTCAAAATTTGGTTGCAGACATTTTCATAATTTTCACATGCTCAAAAACCCAGGTGTTTGCGTGCTTACCTGTCAACGCCAAAAGGGTAGATTGGGGAAGTGGATGGGGCAAGGGGTGTGGAGCAGATAGCACCCGGCTGGGTGTGTCGCTTAATTGCCACAGCTCACGGGCTGAATGGGTTTTTTTGTGGGCGATATCCTTCTATGCGAGTCAGCCGAATGTGCCAACTGCTGATATGGAGCTGTGCCCCTGCAGCCCCTTTGACAAGGTCGTTTAAATGGAAACTATTTGCTGTTAAAAGCAGAGAAGACGACTTGATTAATGTTCATTTGCTCTTAAGAAGAAAAGATAGAATTCAACTTGCTTAAGAATAATTTACCTTTAAGGGTATGGAATTAGCTAGTGCATTAATAATATCATTTTTATCGAGATATTTTGTGTTTATATCAAGACTTCATTGGCAAAACTTCATTGGATATGTTTCTTACTTCATTTTGGAGTCTCTTTTTACCTCAACCCATTAAAAATTGGAATGAAGTTGTGCGAAAGAAAGTATCAGACAGATATATAAATCTTCTTAATCAGCATCAACATCCAAGTATCATCAGGATGAACAAACCGATCGCAGGGACAAAAAGATCTAGAAACTTTCAATTTTGGAATCTAAGCTCTGCCACTGAAAAAGTTTCTTTTATTTTATCGATACCTGTGCCCTTTTTGCAAATATCGATACATATCAATTTCCGATAGCAATAAAAGACGCGATTCTTAAGATAAAGCCCGCGATTATTACAAAAAGTTACAAATTCTTCATTAGGTGTGAACACTTCATTAAGATCGAATAAGAAGCAAAGATTTTCTGTCTCTAACTTTGTTCTCTCTAGTTGACTAATAAGTCAGTGTAGATATTTCAACCATTTACTATATCATTTAAGAAAATTGTAACGCAAATATGGGCGATGGACCGGATCCGGCTCTGGCGCTGAGGAGGGAGTTGCCGCCAGAGATTACATACACCGTTTTCAACAGCGAATCCGAGTTGAAGACCATTCGAGCCCTGATCGAGATGTCGCTCTCCGAGCCGTACTCGATTTACACGTATCGCTACTTTGTCTACAATTGGCCAGAGCTCTGCATCTTTGCGCGTCATGGTGAACGCTATGTGGGCGTCATCGTCTCCAAGATGGAGCAGAAGAGCAGCTATGCGCGGCACGGCTACATTGCCATGCTGGCCGTTGAGCCTGGCTATCGCCTGTTGAGAATTGGCACCAAGCTCGTGGAGAAGACCATTGAGGCCATGTTGCTGGAGCATGTGGATGAGATTGCGCTGGAAACGGAACTGTCCAACAAGGCGGCACTGCGTCTGTACGAGAGTCTTGGTTTCATACGGGAGAAGCGTATGCTGCGCTTCTATATGAACGGTGTGGATGCACTGGGTCTTAGGCTAATCCTCTCCTCGAATGCTAAATTACAGTGATGTTGTTGTTGTTGTTAGTTTTACTTACAGTAGAGATGTGTTGGCTTAAAGATAAAGATGCTGCTCAACTGACTGCCTCTCTCTGGCTCTCTCTCCTGCTCTCCCTGTCTCTGTCTCATTCTCTGCTTCTCTCCTGATGCTGTCATTTTGTGCTGTCAATTAGCGCCCCATGGTGAGGCAGCTACAGTAGTCACTTAATAGCCACCGACTGACAACTTGTGCTCAGGTAAGGCAAACTATTTGATAGCCACCTAATTGAGTGCAATTACTGATGGACGACAGCAAGCAACAAGCAGCTCAAAGGATGTGAAACTTGTAACCCACACAAAGATTACCTTTGACATTCACCCTTGCCAACAGCAGCCAGCCAGGCCAGCTATTCATGGAGGGATAATTACCATTCAGGGTCATATCAAATGACTTTTCCTCTTTCGTCGAGTTATGCACTTATTAAGCGAGCTCAGCCACTTATGATAAGGATATACACATACATACATAAATACATAAGAATATATATACTTGTCCTGGCTACGAGGTGGTCCTTTCTTAGCACACGAGAGTGAGCATCATATATATATAAATATTTTCTTTAGCTACAAATTATGCTATGATTTTCATTTATAATTCTAATAGATGCTATATATATATAATAATTAATCATTACCCTTTGCTAAAAATAACAAAATCATCGAAACGCATAATCAAAGTTATTATTAGCTTAATTATTTAATAAGTATTTCTTAGAATTTATATATTAATGGTTAGTTATACATTCATAACTAAATATAAGTGGGTCTAGGTTTGTCTTATTTATTTTGCAGAATAAATATAAAAAAAGGTTTCTTTAGCTTTAAGATTTCGTCTGATTTTCCTCTATCAAAAATATATACGTTTATTTTGATCATGCTCAGTATGAATTTGTTGGAAAACGTGCCAAACTTTAATAAGCAAATTGTAAATAATTCTTAAAGATAGCTCACAAAACACACTATCGAAACTTTGATAAATAAATAGTCCAAAATAAATCGAAATAAATCATAAAAGCTTGCTAACAAAATTAACGACTCTTTGATAACTAAAAAGTCGTAAATTAAATGTTACAAATCAAAATACCGATACTTTAATAAATTATAGTATTTGATTAATATTCTCTTTGCTATTAGATTATAAATTGGCTTGAAATTTACGGTTCTTGCCCCAAGCCAAGCTGATTGCTAAGTTTGTTGCATTGAGTAGTCCTTATTGATGAGAACCTCGATAAGATTTCCTATGCACAAACTCTTGATAAACTCCGTTTTGCGTGAAGATGCAATTTTGTTGGCATTAGAGACTGTGATAATATTGCACTCTTTTTTAGCCAAACACTTGAGAGGCCCTCTTGGTTTGCCCTCGGACGAACGTTGATCTTTGATCCGCACTTGAGGCAGGCCAGCTTAGCGGACCAGCTTCCTCAGTTGAGCCACTTGAGCGATTTGAACGGCTTCACCTTTGGACCAAATACAGTGCGCTCGCTCTCTCTCTCTCTCTCTCACACACTCTCTCTCTCTCTTAGCTTTTGGGGCAGGTGGCTGAGTTGGCCAGTTGGTGCCACAGACGCAAACGTAACGTTGCAAGCACGGCGTTGATTGAATTGCACCTGCCATTCGCAGAAAACAAGCCGAACGGCTTCTGCCAGGCCACGAAGGGGTGAGGTGGGGTGTGTGTGAGTGTGTCAGTGTGTGTGTGAGTGTGTCAGTGTGTGTGTGTGTGTACTTGATGACCAACGCCCGATGCTCGCGTTATTTATGTGGATTTTTGGCTCAACTCTCAAGCCTGACGACGTCGTCGTCGTCCTCGTCTCTCTAAACTGTCACTGACATTTTACCTGAATTTCAATTTGATGGCTGGTTGACGGCGGCAGCTTCTGTCTTCTGACTCACACACACATAAATCTTGGCTTGGGGGAGGAGCAGGCGGAGATGGATGGGTGGCAGGGACTAACGAGCTGTGTAATCCTGGGACAGAACCCCTAATGCTCTGTGTTTCTTGCTCCTGCTCAGTTGACTGCTTTCGACAATGACAAATACCACAAATCCCAAAACTCTCTATAACAGCATATAGACATATATATATATATATATATATATATTTATACATATTTATACATGCATTATTTGCTCAGATCTAATGCAAATGCAGAAATAATTAGCAGATGCATTCAAGCAGATGGCAAATGTAATGCAAAATCATTTTGCCATTGTTTTTGATTATGCAGCATAGATAATGAGTGCATATTCAATTAATATCTGTTGTTGCAACAATTGTGCATGTATTTTTATTTATTTATGATTGTTGCAAGTGCAATAAGCCGGAGCAAAGCTTAGTTTCACTCGATTGATTGATTGATAGTTGTGCGAGTTGCGATAAAAAAGAAACATGGTCGTGGCTATGATGAAGGGGCATATATATATATATATATATATACATAGAAAATGTGTATGATAAATGTAAATAATATATATGAATAACAAATGGGTTTTAAATGCAAGAATTAGAGATAAGTTCTTGTATAAAAAGCTTTTTTGTTTACCAAGATATCTTAAATAAACATTTGGACAAAATATCATCGAAAACGGACTATTATATTCTATAGCTCCCATAGCTTCCATGCTTCCATTATTATGCTCTTCAAATTAACTTAAAAACTTATCTGATTACCATATCATATGGCTTTCATAGAAAGAATCCTTTTGCTTTCCTTTTCAATCTATTCAGCGATTGGTTTCACTTTAAATTTCAGCTTTTCGTCTATCCCTGAAAACCGTAGTCATTTTAAAAGAATATCCTGTTGAGTCCTTCAGTGAGTACCCCAAGTTGGGAATTCTATTCTTGCTGTAAATGCAAATTTTACCCTGAAATGAAAAACTTTAAATAAAACGCACCATGAATTTCATATATAATTTAGACATTTATTTTGTTCAAATTTTAATTTATTGTTTTTTTTTGTTGTTTTTCTTTGCTATTTTGTTTTGTCTCGTTCTTGACACATACATGTACATATTTTATATCATTTTTATTAGGATAAGGGGGGTGGGGGGGGGGGGATTTACGTGTGTTCACAACTATTTTTTTCATTAGCTTAGCTTTTATATATATATATGCGAATTTGTTGGGGATTGATTTTTTTTGGCTTACGCTTTGCTGAGTTTTACGCTAGATTAACTCTTGATTTCACGTGAATGAATATTTATTATGGTAATTATAGTAATCGTAATTTTCGGTCAATATGTCAAGAACTAACTCTAACTACTCGTAAATATTGATTTTAGTTTAATCTTCTTTTTTTCAGCATTTGAATTTTTGCTCGCAATTTTTGTGGTTTTTGTTGTGTTTTATAATTATTTTTGATTATTTGTATTATCTTTGGCTTTTCGGTTTGTGTTTTTTTTAGGTTAATAAATATTTGTGTGTGTTTTGTTTTTTGTGGATTTTGAACGCATTTGAAGTGGCTTTAATTTAATTTAATTATTGTTTGCTGTGGTTTTTGCTTTTGACTAGTGTGCGACTTAATAATATTTACAATTTCAAACAATTTGTTATGTCTAATTATACATATATATATAGCTATGTATATATATATATATATAGTGTGTGGCGTATATCTAGAGTGTGTTTATTTTAATAATTAAATAGACTATAATATAAACAAGGAGCTCTGATCAAATTCATTAGGCTCTAATCGCAAATCCTATCAATAAGTTAAATTGGTGCCAATAAATTATTACAAAAAATAAATGAACTATAAACATTGTTTAGGAAATCATAGCGAGAGAGGCGATTAGTTATAGTTTTTCTCCTTCATCTTCTACTACTTCTTCTGGGGTGTTCTTTTTCTTCGAGGGTGGGGGTTGGTGTTTTTGTTTTGTTATTTTTGTTTTGTTTTACACGCAAAATAAATTCAGTCTTTGGTTCTATCACAACATTTGTTTACACGTTTCGGCCCGTTCTTCATTTGAGTTTTTGAGTGATTTGATTTTGGTTGTTGTTGTTTCTGTTGTTGTTGTTGTTCTGCTTTTCGGTTTGTTGTCTGCGTGAAATGTTGGAAATGAAACGCTAACGGAACGCAACGCAACGGAACGGAACGAAAAGTAAAGCCGAACGAATTTCGAATTTAGTTTTAAACTAAAATCGCATTTTAACTTTTTTACTTTTTTTTTTTTTCGTTTTTTTGTTTGTTTTTTCTTCCTATCTGTCTATGTTTCTCTCCTGGGTTTGTAGTAGTTTTAGTAGTTGCTTAGGACACGCCCAAGTCGTGCAGCAAATGTTGTGTGATCACCTCGCCCTGCTCCTCCATCAACTGCGCGGTGACAGTGTTGATCAGATTGAAGACGATCGCAAAAACGGTGAATGCACAATAGACGCCCAGCGCCAGCCACCAAATCAGCTGTTCGTATTCACGATGACCGAAATTCTTCAACACTAGAAAACCGATAGTTAAACCCGCCAATGCTCCAGTCAAATGGGCAATATACGAGACTTGGGGTCCCTTGGCAAAGGCGGATGTTGTTGCGGAGGCGGCGCCAGCGGCGGAGGCGTCTCCATCAAAATATTGCGTATACAAAGCATAACCCAAATCGCAAGAGACTGCAAGGAGAAGGAGCAGAGGGGAAGACTCTAAATTAGTTGGGGTTTATTTAAGAAAGAGTCTCTTTTTAACTCACCAAAAATGACCACAGAGCCGAGTTGAGTCGATGCGGATTTCATGTGCGCATAATTCAGCGTAATATTGGCCAGATGAGCTGCCAACAGGGCATAAACCCCGCCACTGGCACCCACAAGAAAAACCTCCGAGTCGACAACACTGGTGCCCAGACTCCCAGCAAAGACGCCAGCCAAATAGATGACGCCGATGCGCGACGTGCCATGCATCACTTCCAGTGGAACGCCAAAGAACAACTGTATGATGATGTTGAACCCCAAATGGAACCAGTTCGCGTGCAGGAACATATAGCTAAAGAAACGCCAGACTTGGAGGCGACGATCGGGTCGATAGACCAAAACTGAATCACTGGGAATCGGAACCGGTGAGCCAAAGTTCTGGGCGGGCATTGTGTAACGGTCATAGGCAAAGATTGCAATCTACATAAAAGAAAGAGGAAGAGAAAGCATAATGTGAAACATTAGTTTTGTTGTTGTTGTTGTTGTCGCAGCACGCGACGTTTGACGTACAAATTCCATGTGTTCCACATAAAAGACAAGCAGCAGCACACACACACACACATACAGCAGTCGGAGCTGCATACAGACACACACACAAACACATAGCAGTGCTGCTTTGAGTCCTGCCAACTTTATTTTGGCATTCGCTGTAACTTTACTAGCGCGCCATCTCACTCCCACTAACACAGTCAGTCTCAGTCTGCCCTTTTTTCTCAGTCTACTTTTAGTTTTTATTATGCTCGTCTTGTTGTTGTTGTTGTTGCTGCTTGTTTACAATCGATTTTGGGGCGCCAGGCAGGCAGCCAGAGACGGAAAAACTTCTTACGTTTTTCCCTATGTGTGTGTTAGTGAAAGAATGTGCAAAAGAAAGCAGAAATTTTATCGCTTTTAGTTAGAAGTGGAGAATTTGTAAAGTTCTTCAACGAATTTTATTGCATTTTGCGGTTCTTTGATTCAATCATAATAATAAATTATCAAAACAACAACAAATCCTATTAGCAATGAGCATTGCTATCTGGTTTTGTTTTCAATGTTTGCAAACACTTTTTGTGCAGACAAAACGGAAATGAAACATGAGCTAATTTGCACTATGTATGTGTGTGTGTGTGTGTGCTTGGTAAGGATGAGTGTGGTAGAAATGTACCGATAAAACAAAAAAGTATGGTACAAATGTATCAAAAAAGGTAGAAATGTACCAAAAATGGATACTTGATCACGACTTTGTGGTACGAATGTACCAAACGCGTTATTTATATATTATTTACGATTATGTGGTAGAAAGGGATATTTGTTTTCTAGTGTGGTACATTTGGGCAAGTTACTCGTTCCATTCCACTTTTGGGTGTTTTTTTTTTAGCCTTAATTGTTAACTCACCTCAATGACGGAGATCATCAGAATGAACCAAGGCCAATGTTTGCGATGCTCGAATTTGAGCATTGCCAAATCATCCGCTTCCAGCGTTGCCAAATTGCAGCCCGCATTTGTGGCAGCAACTGTTGCAGATGGTATTGCAGTTGCTGCTGTAGATGTTGCTGTTGTTGGCGCTGTCATTTTGTGGAGCGTATCGCGTTGCATATAAATGTGTTCGCCTTGGCGGGTGCAGCAAGTGCTGCTCGCCGTGCTGCAATCCGTGTCATAAGAGGACGATGCGGATGCGGAGGATGAGGCTGAGCAGGAGCGGGCAAAGTTGCAGTTGCCACTTGTCGCTGGAATGTCAATGATGATCGCGGCTGTTGCAGTTGCTGTTGCTGGTTTTGTTGCCGCTGCTTGAAGCTCTTCTTCTTCCGCCTCCGCCTCTGTTGTTGCGTCCGCTTCTAGTTGCAGCTTTGTGTGCGGTTTCTGTGTGCTGCTTGTTGCTGCTGCTGTTGTTGTTGTTGCTGTTGTTGTTGTTGTTGCTGTTGTTGTTCTCGCCTCCATTTTGTTGAGCTAAAAGTCTTTTCCCTTTTTATTTGCTGGTGCTGCAATGAGTAAAACAAAATAAAAATCAATAATTAATTTACTTGCCGCGCACAATAAACAAAAAATTAATTAAGTGCATAAATTATTCATAAAACAAGCAAAAAAAAAAAAAAAAAAAAATTGAAAAAAATCCGGACAACATAAAAAATGATATAAACAAATAATAAACTGACAAATAAACAACAAAAAATTATTAATAAATAACTAAAGGAAAAAGAAAAAGGGGGCCAATAGCAACATTAATTATCGGAAACTCTACATTTGCGTCTGGCATTTTGTTTATCGCTCGCAGAACTTGCAAGTTGCATTCCTAGGCCGGAACACCACCCCCGCCCCCCTTCCTCTCTGCTGCTCCTCAGTTGCCTGTTTGTATTTTGGAATGTTTATTTGTATGTAGGTCAGCAGTAACATCTCCGCTCTGCAAGAGCCCCATCAAATTTGATGGTCTCTCACTCTCCATCTCCCTTCCCCTCCCACTCTCTCTCTTTTTCCTTCTCCTTTGTTTCTGGTTAAGGGTGGCTTCACAAAACTAAAATTAGCCAGCAAGGCGCACGTTGAAATAAAATACAGTTAAAGGCCTGCTCACTCCCACTCCCTCCTTCACCCGTCTCTCTCCCTCCCACACTTTTACTATCTGTGTTCTGCTTTTTCTTCGTCTGCATGTGCTTTATATGAAACCAAACGGAACTTCACTTGGCTGCCTACCAGAGAGACAGAGACAGAAGGAGAGTTGGAGGGAAGGTGCTATTTTTATGTAATATGCTTCTATGTAGTAATTTTCATTTGAATGCTGCTCACAAAGATTGTATATTTTTTTTTGCCAAGTTCGAGTTCAAAGTTGTTGACATAACTAAATGGCTTTTAAATTAACTGCATTTTTACTGCTGTTGCTGCTGTTTTCTTGTTGTTGTTGTTGGTGTTGTTGTATTTGGAAGGCCGTTTCGCTAATGGGCCAACAAACCAATCAGCTAATAACAGCAAATTATTGTAATTTTTCTCTTTTTTTCTTGTCTTGTCTTGTTCAAATTATGTTAATCGCATTCGTTTCAATTACCAAACGTATCACTAATGACATTTTTGCTGCCTGCACACAACATAACAAAAAAGAAAAAAAAAAGAAATCTCTTCGCTCAGTGTATTGTTTATTGTGATCACATTTGCACGCCTAAATTGACTTAAATTCTTTAAGTTTTTTAAGTCGCTCAACAATAGGCAAAAAGTTTCCAAATTTTTAACGTCGCCTTTTCCATTGCACAATGCACACTCATAAATACACACACACACATACACTCACACAGACGCACACATGTATGATGAGTTTGTTCGTTCACTTCCTCCCACCTACACACACACACACATACAAACTTTAAGCTTGCCTGCTGTCTTCGCAAGTGCACTCACACACACACACATACTCACTCGCTCACTCATATTTTAATGTTGATATTGCTTGTGTGTGGGAGAAGTTCGAAGCGCACTTCTAACTGTGCATGTTTGTTGTTGTCTTGCTTGGTTGCCTAGCAGCAGCAGCAAGCTTTTTTTCTCTCATTTTTCATTTCTTCTTTTTGGTTATTTCTTATGTGTGTTGTTGCTTTGCTTATTCATTAATTAATTTATTAATTTTTCAAGCGGAATTTACGTTTTTGCGCAAGCTGCACCAAATAAGCAAAGAGCATGAAAATTTTGTATTGTTGCCTGTTTGCTTGCGTGCTGCACGTTTGCCAATTAACACACAGACAGACAAGCAGACATGTTGCGTATGATTTGCAATAAATGAAATTAACTCGAACTCAAACTCAAACTCAAAAATAGTTTCACATGAACCCCAGTCACAATTTGCCCATTGCACTTACACACACACACACACATACACACACACACGCAGATGTAATCGCCTTTTTGCTCGCCACCCCTAATAACAAAAAAATATAAACTGTTGAGTTGAACAAACTCATTACGGGCCCTTTTGCTGCACTTAATATTTTTCCCTGCGACAATTTCCATTGCAATTTTATCTCATTAAGGTCAAAATTGCTGGCTTACCTTTTAATATTATGATATTTGTGTATTTCTTTTAAGAACTTATTTTTGGTATCTAAAATTAATGTTGGTGTCGCTTTTTTAATCCAATTGTTGCTTAATTTTGTTCGTTAATTATTTTTTTAAAATTATTATAGCTTTTCACTTTGCTTCACTCTGCTGCTTGCCACAATTGATAATAATTTTAAACTTTGTTTTAATGCTCATAAAATTCATTTTGAGCATAGAGCGAAAATTGTGTTGTTGCTTTTTTCTACACTTTTTTGTTGATGTTGTTGGTTTTTACACGCACATTTGAACACCTGAACACTTTGAGCGATTTTCTTTCAATTTGACGAATTTCTTGTTGTTTATCGAGTCCGTTAAGTGAATCGTTTTCTTATTTGTTCTTAGACGATGCTCTCGCATTCACGTCTCGCACGCAACTAAAGCAGCTCCAAGCAAGTGCCGCTCTTTAAATAGCTGGTCGCGCAACTTCTCACATGGGGGTGGGTTGCCATCATACCAGGCAGGTGAGTCGAACCACTGAGAGAGAGAATGTCTACAACGTGTTCGAACCAACACAGCCGGCTGCAACAAATTGCATTTAATTGTTTTTCTTTTAAAAGTCTGTTGATATCTGCAGATATTAAATACTTTAAATTGATTATTTTCGTATGGGCTAAATTCATAGGCTAAATTAGCTTATTCGAAATGAGTGCAACTGCAGATTAAGAGCGAAAGAGAGAAATGTATGTTGGACTTCGAGCATGTTGTGTTTTCGTTTTTGTGGTTCGCGAGCGTAAGCGTATAAGAGTTTCACTCAGTGTTGTTCTTGTTGTTGTCCACTCTGCAACATGTTTGTTCACCGCAAATCCGGTATTTTAAACTTGAATTCATTTTGCAACCGTCAATAGCAATACAAACTTCTTATGTGCGGCACATTCCATTGCTACCATTCATACAACCAATCAAATATATATACAAAAAAACAAAAAGTTCCTACTGTGCCGCTATGCATACCACATTGTATATTCGACTAGCTGCGATTTTATTCAAATATGCGTAATATGCGATTAGTCAATCGTCTTGCAATGCAGTTGAGCTGTTGACCATGATTCATCCATCAGCGCCATTACCAATCTCTATCTGACTGAGTAAACCTGAAAAGATACTCTTTGTGATGAAATTTTTGTGTACTGCCCGCCGTTCTAGCCAGGGAATCAACTCAATGAAAGAAAAACTTAAGCAATTTTTATCTTTGTTCTAAATCAAACTGCAAATTGCTTCTTTTGAAATGGACTATTGTGTGAATTCTGCGAAAAAGTCGTTTTTAATATTGCTCATTTGGGTTTTTAGGATTGGAGAAATTTCCTAATTACTGCAAATTTTTTTTAATATTATTATAATTCGCAATATTGGAATTAATTGTTTTCTAGTGGCAAATTTTAGTACATGGTTCTCATAATTCTATATTACAAGGATAAAACAATTTCAAACAATTAAAAACTTTTCAATATCAAAATATATATATTTGCTTATAGATTCTATGATTTATACATATAAACATAAATGCAATATTTGTGGCATTGGAGCCGCAAACATTTAAATCATATTTTTCAAAAATGTTATAAATACTGTGTAAGATTCAAAGTCGGACTAAACTATTACTTATTTTTCAAGGATTAGATTATAGATATATGTATAAATAAATATATATTTTTTTGAAGCGTGCCACAATTCAGAAACAGCAACAACTGGCAGCTGTTTCACTTAATTATATAAAGCAGGTGTGTTTAAATTTGAAAGACGTCAATGAGAAATCAACGCAGACTGTAAATCAACAAAGAAAATGCAAAATATGGCCCAAACATACCCCGACTCCCTTTCCTACCCTTTCATATCTGCTGGAAAAGATAGATTTTCCTCAGTGTCTATCTCGCCGATCGACGCCAAGTGGTTTTAAATTTCACACCTTCGTCCGTGGCAGAAGTTTGCTAGATCAAAATCGGTAGCAAAAATAAATATTTATACAAATTATTAAGACGACTGCCACAAAGCGTGATCCGGAGGCAGACTAAGACCAAAAATAAGGAAAAGAAAAACGAAAAGGGCGAACTCGTTCGCTGGAAAAGGCAACGAAATGTTGCACAAAAGGAGTAGCAAGCACCTAAAGCCGAGCTGCAATGCCACAGTAGGATCAACAGTGGGATCTACTATTATCGACTACTACGTGGCTACGTGTTTTGCATGATAAGCCGGGAATTTACACAGATGCCATTCGATAAGACAAACACAGCAGAAAGTCTCAAGCTGCATGTGAAAGTGAAAAGTGTTTTTCCAATGTGTTTTCGAAGAGTTTCACATAAAAATCACATACACATACACACAAACCATACGCACAGAGATTTATGATGACTTTTTAACATGTGCATGCAACAGGTAAGCCCGCACACACACAGACACACACACACACATACACAACTACACACAGTGACCATGACCATGACCGTGGCACGTCATCAACAGCAGCAGCAGCAGCCAGCAGCAGCCAGCATCGTAAATCCTTTTTTCCCACGTTCGCTTGCAGCGCGGGGAGGCACGTCCCAGGCACGTAGGGGACTCCACACGCAACGCAACAAATATTCTCTTGCCAAGTCACAGTCACAGTCACTGGTCACAGTCACTGGTCACAGTCACTCGTCGCAAATCACAGGTAAGTCACCCACTCAGTCACCCAGTCACCTGTGGGCGTGGGCTTCCCTCTCTCGACCTGGGGAATTCCTTTTTGATGTGTGTTTCTTTTTCGCTCTGCCAAACATGTGCGTGCCACATGTGTCCGGAGTCAGGAAATTCCGCACTTGTTTGTTGCTGTTGCTGCGACAGGAACACAGGTTCATCGTCTACGTCGGTGTCCTTGCTCCCTTCCGTTGCATTGCGGATTTTCATCTGAAATTGTGAAGCGCATTTCGCGATTTCGGCGACTTTTGTTGCACTTGTCAACAAAATTGCTCATCCTGTGAGTCCATGTGTGTTTTTCCCATTTAGTGCATGGCATACAATCTCTCGAGTCGGTGCAACAAATTCAGGGGCGCGTCTCTCAGAACAGCTTCCTAGAATGTAAAGCGAACGTGCCGCAAATATTTCAAATCAATAATGCAGCTACTAAAGGATATTTAGTCGAGAAAGCGAGACTAAATAAATCAAGATAAATACAAAAAGCAAATTTATATCTAAATAAAATTAAATTTTTGTGAAATTCCAGCAAATTGTTTGTATTTGGATTATATATTTTCTATGACAAAATTGCTAACTGTTCCCATGGCTTAGAACCATCCATGTTAATCACATCCTTTTCCTGATTGCTTCCTCAACATTTATGAATGACTCGTTGTTGATCTGGGAATGAATGAAATTGTTGAATTGTTATAGATTCCTTCCTACTTGGATTTATTTTATCTGTTTATTTTCTGTTTATTTATGTATTGCGATTGACCATTGACTATTTGACCAAGTCAAAGCCAATTCAAATTTGCCAATTGATGTTTCAATGATTTTTCCATGCCAAACATTTGCCGCTTGTCCCAATTTTCTGCCGTTTGGCCAAAGTGCTGCTTGAGTCAACAGAAAACTGAAACAAAAGCGTTGTCTTTGGCCCAGTCTGGGAAAACTGCTTGGCATACAAATGTCCTGCTTAAAGGGAGCTGACCTGCTGCTGTCCTGCTCCTTGGCCAGTTGGGTTCAGTTCGGTTTCGGGATTAGGCTGCACAATAATTTCAACAATTACTACTTGAATGCAATGTTTATGTTCAATTATAGACGGCCATGGGTCTGGCATTCGGGCAAGGACATGCCTGGACTCGCGTTGCAATTCATTGATTGACATTTTTACTATGTACACTCTCCGCATATCCCTCCATCCTTCCTTCCTTCCATCCTTCCTTGTGCTCTGGCAATAACAATAAATTTCCAATTTGTGTTTGGCATTGGCCATAATGACGTCCACAAAAGGCAAACTTAATCCAATAGATAAATTTGAGGGCTCGTCGTCGTCGTCAGCAGTTGCCGTAGAAAGGGTCCTTGTTTTTGTCTGTGTTGCGGACAGTCTCATTACTGGGGCCATTATATTATATACTCCTCTCTCGCCATCAACTCAATCAATTTTTCCAATTTCCATTTACAATTGAGTGTCGCAGCCACAACATTTGCTGCCACCAACTGTAAAATACTTACTGAAGGCAACCCCCTCAACTCCTCTACCCCTTCCAGCCACTGTTGTAGCCCAGCAAGTTGTGCATTCGCTTTCAAATGGAAATTTTCTTTGCATTAGTTTCAACTGCAATGTTTTTAATTTTTTTTTTTTTAGTTTTAGTTTTGTTTTTTTGGTATTGGTATGGCTTGTTTACATTTCGAAGTTGTTTTCCTTTTCATACTCGTTGCATAATCGAATGCAATGTGTTTTTATTCTGTCTGCCGTGTGTTCTCGTTCTGCTGGCCAGCATCAAAGTTCCGCAAAATAAAAAGCAAACAAACAAACAAAGTTCTTTCCCATTTTACTTGTAATTAACAAATTACTTCAACTTGAATGGGAAAATGGAGCAGCAGCTCACTCATGTGCAACTGATTCCACGTCTACTCCGCCGACTCTGACAGTGCAGTGCAGTCTTTGCGAATAAAGCAAACACAGATTAAACATCTCACAAAACTAAAATTCACTTTAAGCCAGATACTTTTCAGCAGATAGCCTTTTACCTGATAGCTTCGAAACTTGGACGACACAGTGAAATAAATTAAGTAAAAATTGTACACATTTTCAGTAAAATATTATATAATTTTCAAAATGGAATTGAAAGCAGAAACTATAAATTGAAGCTAAAATAATGTCAGTTGAGCATATTTCCAAATATTTTGAATCCAAATATTGAATGTTTTGATAGTCCGTATTTGATTGAACTCGTAAACTTAAAGTTAAATTATTTTTATGCCCCTCCAAACAGTATCAAATATTGTGTAATAGAGTGTAGTAAAAGTTGAATCAAAAATCTTTTGTTTGTTTTGTTTCCCTTGGCAAGACTACAGTTTTAACATGCAACTTGCCACAGTGTTGACAGAGGCCACAACATATTAAAAAGGCGGTCGCTGTGCAAGCAAGTTATGATGAAGCTGATCCCAGTGAACCACGAGACTCTCGGAGTCTGGGTGACTGGGGAGTCTGTGCAATCGTTGCAATCGTTGCAGTAATCAGTTTAGGGGGCACTTGTTCACTTTGGGATGCTTTGGTTTTAATTACGCGGCAAAAGTTGAACCGCAGTGCGAAAGCCGCGCTTCGAGCCGCTTGCAAGTTGCTCTCTCTCTCTCTCTGGTCAGCTGCACTTCACTCAACTGCTCGCCAACTGCTGCCCAGTTAGTTACAACTTCGACCAACACATTAAAACTGCAATTCAGCCG